TGGATGGATGGATGGATGGATAAATGAATGAAAGAACGAACATAACGAAAGATGGGTATATTGCTGAATAGTCTGGTTAGAGGATAGATTCAGGAGTGACAAAAAAAAAATAGAAATTTCATTCAATAAGCAATTAAGGATAATTGTTCTTACCTTAAAATTTTCACTTGAATCTGATGATCTTCCAACCAAGACTTCAATAAGAGCTGAGCCATTGTTACCTTGACATAAATCAATGCCATCAATAATGGTTATTGTCAGTGTTAGTCATCAGACCTTGCTTGCCATCACCATCATTATCATCCCGGGAGGGGGGGCAGCACATTTGGTAGCAGGTACCCATATAGTGAATATAGGGGAGTACCCCCCTCCCCCTAGTCATCATCACCACAAGGCATCATCATCATGCATTAACACCATCACTATATTACCCCCATCAGTCATCATTTATCACCATCATCATTATCTATGTCATCTTCAGTATTAAACTTGTGTACTGAGGAGCACTTACCAATATCAATGCTATGGATTTTGGTTGCTTTCTCAAACTGTACAAAAAGATAGAAAACCCAACAAAATTTAATTAATTTTTTTGCATTTTTACAATAACAATTAATAAGCTTATTAATTCCACCCAAACCTCTCTTCCACGATAGTAAAATATTGTCAGTTGCACGTCTCAAACGCGAGCTTTATATATATTATTTCTAAAAGGGTAGTTTTATCCTGACCTCTAACACGACGACAGCTTGTTTTCCTCCTGGTTCTGCACATCTCCACTTCCTATAATTCTCTGGTTTCAGCAAATTTGAAGTCGGATGTGAAGTATCCTCACTGCTAAAGGACACAACATGCTTTAATTTTATCAATGGCATTGCCAAAACTTTGAACCTAATATTTAATTCAGGTGTTTTAACTCATGAACAAGATAGCTAAACAGCAACTCTGCAACCATTTTTAATTCATTTATAATATGCATCGAACCGGAGAGACTGGTAAACTCAAAGGAAGCCCAAGCTTGATCTTAATTTATTATTTTATTCTGCAAATTGATTACTTCTTTTTTATTAATAGAAAAACATTTAAAACTGATAAAAAACATTCTAGGGGTCATATAATAAATCTTCATTATCTTTATTTTTTTTTAAATCTACTAAAAATCTACTTGGGGCTCCTGTGCTTATTTCCCGCCAAAATTACGGTTTATACACGTGACTTGACATGTGGGTCGCGCGCAGTTCACTTCCGTTTCTCAGATCATCCGAAGCGCATCTTGTCTTTCTTTACTGACTGCCATCTTTAAAGCGTTCCTCAAAATAAGGCAATTTCTTCCCTTATTTCCCATCAAATTCAACCAAAATGGCTGGAAATCAAAAGTTTCACATCAGTAAGTGAGCCTAGAAGAAGAAATTAAGTAAGATTTAAATGAAAAATGTTCAAATTTGTGCCTTCAAAATGTCATGTTAGGTCTTTGACTACACGTGAGTTTGACAGTATCATGTAACCTGCCTGCTGAACGCTTGACTTTGTTTTCGCAATTCTTTGAGCTTTCAGGCGTATTAACTTAAATACTCCTTGTTTTCAAAAGGATTGAATAATAGGGCTTTAATATTTGTTTGCGTTTTTCTATCCACAAGACATATTTAACAAAAATACAAAACTTTCCACATGAAGCTTGCTTTCCATCCTCATTGCTGTTTGCAGCCCTTCAGAAATATTCGTACAAGAAAGCCAGGTTTTCCAATCACGATACTGAAGCATAGATATCTTTTTCGTAATAATGCTTTCATTTAAAGTAGGCCAAGATTAGATTTATAGCATAGAGTTTGTTTTGACAGTTTGACATCTAGCTTTATCACGTGCCTTACGTGTTCCATTTAAACAAATGTTTAGAATTTCTCAAATAATTCATTAGCCAAGCTAGACTTCATATCATCAGCAATGGTAATAGGAATTGGACGAAATACTACATACTTATAAAAATCAAATCAACCCTAACTAATTCAAACTGGTTAGAGTTGTGCTCCGGGGTCATACATGGACTGTAGAATGGCTGCCCCAGAGGCACCTTTACATGCTTTCAGTTCGACCCTATTGAGTTGCGTCACTGCTGTAATTGCGGTGGTGATAAGCGATGACAAGTTTTTTTTTTGTTTTTTTTTTATCAGTTTAGAACAGTACGACCTATCAAGCCAGTTTATAGCTTCCTCTTTAGATTTACATTACTCTTTGTTCTTATTTTTACCAACTTTAACCACCAACTTCCCCTTCTCCCCCTCCCCCCTCCCTGACCCAGCCATATGCTTAAGTATTTAATTCCCAAAGGTTTCCATGACAACTGCCTGCTATAATCCATGAATCGAGCTTAAAACATTTTTATCCTTAGGTAACCTATCTCCGAAATCAACCAAGGAGAGCCTTGCAAAGTACCTTGGATTAGATGCAACTCCATACTTACGATCATCCAGCTGGGTCGATCTGCCACTTGACAAGTCGGGCAAGTCTTTAGGTTTTGCATATGTTAATGTCCCCACTCATCTTGGGACCCACATGACTGATCTAAATAACACCAAGTATATGGACAAGAGGATAGTTGTTCAGCCAGTTTATGGCAAGGGTAGCCAGCCATCTATGTATTCTAGCCCAAATGTTTTTGTGCCATTCGATATGGCAAATTATGCCAGTGGCGCTTGGCCCAGACCAGGAAATATTCGTAACCGAAGGTACGGTGGACATCCAATATCCTACGAACAGGTGTCTATCCCAGTGGAAAAGAAGCTGGCTCTCATTGATGTAGCCATCAATTTAACAAATAAAATGTAAGTAAGGTGTTAGCTGTACCCTTACTCTGGTCAGCCTAGAGGGTGTTTCAGGGATCAGTCTGTAAGCTATCCATGCCCTGACTAGGACAACATAGGTTGTTTCAGGGGCCTACTGAGCCTGCCATGGCCTTACTTGGATCAGCCCAGAGGTTGTCTCAGAGTTCGAAAAAATGTTTAATTTTTTTTGTCTCTTCTTACAGCTTCTCTCTGGATCTAGACTTTGTACTCGACAGAGCACTTAATGCTGGCATAGAGAAGATGATCCTAACAGGCAACACTATTCAAATGTCTGACAAAGCAGTCCTGCTTGCAAATCGTCACCCAGGTTTTATTTATGCTGGTGTTGGTATTCACCCACACTTTGCCGAAAAACAATGGAATGCAAAAACTCTTGAAGTCATGAAAAGACTGGTTTCATTGCCAGAAGTAGTTGCAGTTGGTGAAGTGGGCTTGGATTTCCACAGAAACTACTCCAAGCAGGAAAACCAAATAGAAGCTTTTGAAAAGCAGGTATGTTTTTGAATACCCTTAGGATGGATATGACCCCTAAACACAATGCATTGTGGGATACTTCAAGGGTAGCATAGCCCTTGTGGACTCTGCATTACGTGTGAGTAGAGTTTGTTAAGTTATTCAGGTTGTTTTTTTCCCTGGGTTCTTTCTTTTTCATCCCTTCACAAGACCTAACCCAACAATCAAATTCCAATTGGATCTTTGAGTTAGCCATGCTCTGACTTAGATCAACCACCACCCAGGGGTTGTTTCAGCGTTTGATCTGTGAGTTAGCCATCCCTAACATTGATCAGCCCAAAAAGAAGTGAGTTCTTTAAAATTGCTTAAAAAATTATTTTTCTAGGTTGAATTGGCCTGCGAGTTTAAGAAGCCTCTTCTTGCACATGAGCGTGCAGCCCACCAGAAATTCATGGAAATCCTAAGCAAGTTCAGGGGTCGTCTGCCTCCTATCGTGGTTCACTGCTTCACTGGAACAAAACAAGAAATGAAAACTTATGTAGCAATGGGCTTTTATATTGGAATTACAGGGTTTATTTGCAAAGGTAAGTTGGTTGGTAACAGAAAATTTTGTACCAAGGCATGGATGGAAATGAGTTTGCTAGAAAACAAGAGCAGGCCAAATTCTTTTGATGGCAAGCAAAAACCAATTGTCAAGCTGAGTGGAATATAGAATGCAAGGCTAAAAATAACAGGTGTTCAATGGTCAAACATGATGATCAGCCACAGGACTGATGAAGATGTCACCAGTCAAAAGGACAGACCTGTTAGAGGCATTTGGCTGCAAAAATGTTGAGTTTAGCCAGACTTGTCCATTTATTGGCCATTGTTCTAATGAAACCTTTTTAACCCTGAAATGATTTAGGAAATGAGTGCTAATAGTTATTACGCCAAAAATCTAAAAATTCTATTTTTAAAACTCCAGTATATCTTTTCTTATACATTTGTGTAGCACTAGGAAGGATAGGAGTAAATTATACTCAGTGAAGAAAAAGGAATTTGCTTTGGGAGGCTAAAAGGTTATCTAGAACCATATATCTGTTACTTTAAATATATCATAATGACAGAATTCTTTTCTTTTCAAATGCAGAAAAAGTTGGGAAGAACCTGAGAGAAGCCATTGCAGACTGCCCTCTGGATAGAATACTACTAGAAAGTGATGCCCCATACATGATCCCTAATGCACCAATCACAGATCTTGATAGCGTATGCCGATCTTTGATCTCAAAATGCAAGACTGGAAGAAATGAGCCTTGTACTCTTCCCGTTGTGGCTTACACTGTTGCTAAGTGCCTTGAGGTTGATGTTGAGGAGGTTACGAAGGCAACAATGGACAATGCTAATAGAGTATTCAATTTGACGAATACTACACCTGTAGACGAGGAAAGCTAAGGTGTAAATTTTTTACAAAATATAAAGGATTACTGGATTATTCACTTATGATTACCAGTAAACAAGGTATATCTTGATTACAGATATTACCAAAATACAGTTTCACATTCAATCATATAAAACTATATTTATGTTTAAATTCGGTTTAGAAAAATTACGCGAGATAATTAAAATGGATTTGTTTGTTCAAAGGTTTTGAAAAATTATCCCCAAAAAATTAGAAAAAAATTATACAAAAATGTTATGTTATGAAATCAAGTATCATTCCTTAACAATGGAAATATTATTAACATTTGGAATTTTAGAATTTTCCAAAGACAAAACAAAGAGAAATCCACAAAACTAGATTAATAAAACTAGTGTTTATTGAAAATGTTACTTAGTTTATGAAGAGTTAAAAAAAACATATAACAAAATTCTAATAAATCTTAGCTTTACTTCAAACCAATATGTCACAGCACAGCCATCACTACATAGACCTTTTCTGAGTTTCAAAAATATGATGCGTTCTGGTATAGCTTGGGTTACTACAAACAACACCATTTAATGATAAGTTTAGCTTTTAATAATAGATTTAAAATGAATAAAAAACGCTACTAAATTACGATGTTTCGACATCATCTGATGTCATTATCAAGTAAATCAATATTCAAGTCAGAAGCATTTTAAGGTCAATAATGCTACAGTGATTATATAGAAAAGGATTATCAACAAAAGAGTTTTGCTTTGATTGAGTCTGATTTAGTGTGACTCCTCCCTTATGATGAGCATTTCGTAAATCAGGCAGTCAAATTAAGTTTTGCACTTTTTTAAGATGGTAAAGTTCTGCCTGGGTGGTGCTGTTGTGAGACTGTGTTCTCCTAGATGATGCTTTCCAGTAGCTGAATAACGGCGTTCTTCAATACTCTTGTGCAGATAACGGGCTGTATAACCAACATAACTCACATCACATGAGCCACATTGATAAATAAACTACAAGTTGTTGGTTTACTAGCTGTGGTTTACACCATTTAAGGCATGATAAATGAAAGATGTTACTGTAACTAGACCACAATATTGGGATGCTCACTATCTTAGATAAGACCTATTGCAGGTCAATATACATTATGTCTACAAAATATTATCTTTTCTATTGCATTCATGTGAAACTGCTTTTTCTCCTTCATTCCATTGATTCTATACTTTCCCATTTATCTTCCTGATACTTTAGCCAGGTTGTCGTTGCTACCTTGTTAGTATTCTAGTTGTCTTTCACTCTCTTGTAAGTGATGTGTAGGTGTTGTGCGTGAGGTGTACGGTCTGTTTCCATGTGCATAATGTATTCCATGGTGTCCTGGTCTGTAGTTAGGCGATAGATCCTTTCCACCTACACACATACAATCAATGATTTAAAAAAAAGACTTCAGCAACAAATAATTTCCTTTAGGCTGGGGAATTCCTTTTGATTTTTGTTAAATTTCAGGCTATAGTCAAAAAGGTTGCCATGCAGGGTAGATATCCGAGTTAGGCTTTATTGCCTTTAAACAATTGTTTTAAGTCAAGCATTTGGGTTAATACAATCAAATGCATAAAAAACTGATCCAAATGCAACAATCGTTTTAAGACAATAGAGTGTAACTCACATATCTGTTATTGAATGAAATCTGTGGATACCAGACCTATCTCGAATAGACCTCTTGCAGCATGTCGGAATACAGCTCAATTTGGAGGACATAACAATGGGGCTTTTAAATGTCCTCAAAATTGAGCTGCTTTGACGTCACATGCCAGGGGTCTATAGATGGTTTGCACCATCACCAGTGGCAGCCAGGACAGGAGGCACAATAATGGAGTCTTTCCCCTGGAAAACGGAATTCTTTTTCATGACCAGATTCAATTCTTCCAGCCTCCTGTCATGGCTGCCATCACATGATTTCGTAAAGCCTCTCGGCAAGTTGAGTGACCATAAAACCTAGCCTGCGTGGTACTTTGGGGCGAAGAGGAGGGAAGATAAGGGAGTGCCTGCTATGAATCAAGACCTCGATGTATCCATACATTTCCTTTAATGCATTAAGACCAACCTTTACTTTGAGCTATTGTTTAGTGGTAACTCCAGCAGAAATATTATTGGGAAGTTCTATTTGTCAACTATTAATACCTTGGTCACTTTAGGGTCTGCTCCAAATGTCATCCTTCCAATAGTATGTGACAATAAATGAATCTCTTTGTCCTTCACCTCACCTTCCTCAACTTCACTGATTCCTTAAAATTTATAATAAAATAATCTAGATTTAGTCTCTAAAAAATCCAGGCTTAAATTATCCCAAATATGTGGGTGTGTGCACGTGAAGGCTGTGGGGATCCTACATAATTTTGTGGAATAATATTATTTGGGTGCCCCCCTCAAGCAAAACATTTTTAGTGACCCTCCTAATCTACAGATATTTAGTAGACTTATCATCTTTGAAGAAATATTGGTGGTTTTAACAACCGAAACTAACAAAAGATAAACCTTGAATTGTTAGATAAAAATTACCGTCATGGCTGAGATTATGTATTGAAAAAAAACATGAATTACTTGAATATGAGTGCATATGGTGCATATTTATAAGTTTTTACCTGCATTTTGTGCTACCATAAAAGCTAATGTTGTAGTACCAGGCTTTATCCTCAGGAAGCCACTCTCATAATGCATGGGAGTTTGGTCAGTAGTGCTAAAGCTCTTTGCACTGAAATTGGAGAACGCTGATAATGTTGATAAATCCATATCATAGTAAATAAGAAGAGATAACTAGCTAAAAACTAGTGTGAGCTGCATCTGTGTTTCTAGTGAAACAGTAATGAAAAAAGGGTAAAATATTTTACACCGTGAAAAGATGAAAAAACTGATGTTTCGACTGCTAGTCCTTTGTCGGAGTAAAAACTTAGTATTACAAGAGGACATACCAAAAACACCATCAGAAATTTGTCTTAATGCAAAAAGCTTGAAAGGAAAATGGTTTGTAGCACATGCTGGCTCCATTCCTGAGCAATTCGTATTTTTTTAACTCAATTTTTCAGTTTGTCCTCTAATTTACTACAAGAATACTTACATATTTTTTGGTACCTAAAATATATTTTTGATCATACTTACTCATAGGTGAGGATTGGTTTCCCAAAATGGTCAAAAGTCACCTCTTCAAGGTACGTAAATGGACTTATCGTAGGATAAATGCCACAACCTTCTCCCTTCCACTTCCCAATCAGCCAGGAAATGGGAGTAAGTGCTTGATCAATGGGAGGCTGGGATGAATGGAAGAGAATAAAGGTTTCAAATAGATAAACATTCTTTCCTTCCTCAATTCTTTCTTTCCTTAATTATTTCCTATCTGCGACCCCGAAAATAAATTATCTATTTTTAAACAAGCTAAGAACACTGGAGAAGGACAACGCTACTCTCTCTCCCCACTCCCACCATACCCCTATTTGTTTCTTTCCAAAATGCATAAATTCGTATTGTTTTATCCGTCAAAACTAGCTTTTAGCATTGAATTTCTACCAGCTGTCGATGAAAATATAAAATGAAACTAAAAATGCCTTCTAGATTAAAAAATAAATAATCTTAGCAGAATAAATCGCTCAAAAAAACAGGATAAAAGCCCAGACGGAACTTTCAAAATGTCAGTTCTGCACGAGCGGAAATCAGTTTTCCGAGAATAAAACTCGAAAAATAACATAACAGCTTATTAAGTTGAAGGTATTAGTTTCGAAAGAGAGGTAGGTACCTTGGAGGAGGCTTGAGAACTCATTGTCTTGGACAATTCAAAACAAAATGGACGACGAACACTTCGAAACAACAACCCAAACATCTTTACGTCTTGTTATTGTACGCTAGACAAAAATACACCCCACTGGGGAGGGGTTTGGACAAGTCCTACTACTTAAAAAAATATGACTCTAGTAGTCTAGCGCAAAAGTCTTTATAAAAGATAAATAATAGATATCAGTAGATATCTAAGGGTATTATGAAATAAATGAGATAGAAAGATATCAAGGATGATTCTTTGAAGAATTTGATAAGCTTTTTTCTTACTCCACCCTAGTGGGTATTTTGGTAGTATCTTCCAGGCTCCCAACAGCTGACCGGGAAGACTGGGTACTACCAAGGAGTCGCGCCGTTTTACAAAAATTCAAACGGTTTGTTTTCGATGAGAGAAAAAAACATTTCCTAGTTTACCTCTGTTTTCCTTAGACTTTTTAAAGAAAAATCGAATTTCATGAACAAGAGACGTGCGTATGTTCAATAATATGCCTGTAGTGACGAGATCATGTGGTAGAAAAGTCCCGAGAAGAAGGATCGAAGACCCGACTCCAAGAACTTGTAAAACAACAGCAAAGAGAAGGAAAGACGTGTCTGATGAAGAAAACGAGAGACCTCCGAAAAAGGTACTGTTGATCTGAGCTTGTTCCCTCTTTTGTAAGAATTATGGTAGGGTTATATTGAATGATAGATGTTGGAGAGGATCAAGGATTTGTTTACAATTTTGAATCGTCCTTAGACTGATCAAAATTCAATATGTTTTAGTTGTCTGAAATATAAATCTTTTACAGTGTAAGCTCATATGTCTTTTTTTCATGAATAAATATAGTTCATGTAGGCTTAGGTCGTACTAATTAATCCCTAAAAAGCATACATATTTATAGCGACTTGTCTTCATATTAAATATGAAGAGCTACATGTAATTAGTAAGTTCAGTGTTTCCAGTGCTTTATAATTCAGTTATGTTTGCAAAGCAGCAGTAAGGGGGACTCGCGGTCAATGTCAAAGATTTACGGGTTTTACAGGCGGTTTAAGGAAGGCGCCGGCAGCGGGAAATACCCGCGCGACAAGTCCTTACTGCTGCTGTGTTGGGAATCAAAGATATCGCAAACGGAGGTTAAGATATCCTTTACATAT